GTTGTTGCCCTCCTACGGCCTCCTCCACATCTCCTGATGTCTGATGTACTGGCCTGTCTCCGCCTCCATGCTCTGGACACTACACTGACAAACACAGCAAACCTTTTGCCTACAGCTCGCATTGATGTGCCATCCTGGATGAGCTGCACTACCTGAGCCACTTGTGTGGGTTGTAGACTCCGTCTCATGCTACCACTAGAGTGAAAGCACCGCCAGCATTCAAAAGTGACCAAACCATCAGCCAGAAAGCATAGGAACTGAGAAGTGGTCTGTGGTCACCACCTGCAGAACCACTCCTTTATTGGGGATGTCTTGCTAACTGCCTATGCTTTCCACCTGTTGTCTATTCCATTTGCACAACAGCATGTGGAATTGATTGTCAATCAGTGTTGCTACCTAAGTGGACAGTTTGATTTCACAGAAGTGTGATTGACTTGGAGTTACATTGTGTTGTTTAAGTGTTCCCTTTATTTTTTTGAGCAGTGTATTTTCAGTCGTGTCTTCTTTGCCATTTCTTTAATCATGGATCAGTTTCTATTGGTAAAACTTCCTTATCTTTTATATATTTCAAATTTACTTTGAAAGACTGGTACATGGACTTATACTAGGATTTGAACCACCAGCCCGCTCTACCTCGTGAGCTACAGCCACGCCAAAGTGTTGGTGTCTTTTGAGCAGTTAGAAAGGTTTAAATGTTGAAGCATCTGTGGACTATCTCCAGCAGCCAGGACGTAGCCAAAATGCGACACAAACGCTTTCTTTGGACATTGTGGTGAGGTGCTACGGCAATTTAACGGTCTTAAATTTAGCTAAACACAGAGAAAGCATTATATTTTCATTAACAGGAAATGTCAACAAAAACAAATTAGAATTTTTTTTATAAAATATTCTTTAAAACTAAGTATACTGAAAGTAAAGACCTAAAAGCCACTAACTAAGAAATTGGGGTATTAATTTTTTTCTTATATATGACTGTGTTAGAGATTGAAAGAACTTTACTATTCATTCAGTCATTCATTTTCTACCGCTTAGTCCCTGAAAGGGGTCGGGGGGGTCGGGGGCGGAGCCAATCCTGGTTGGCAATTGGGCGAAGGTGGGTTACACCCTGGACAGGTCACTAATCCATTGCAGGGAGAACTTTACTAGTAAAGCTAAATAAAAAGCTAGTTAATTTCATATTCAGACAAATGGCTCCCAACCTCTGATCTCACCTGAACAGAGTGTCATTAGTAGCTGATGGCTTCACGGGGTTGTGACAATCACTGTGTCCCTGAGGAATGAATCCTCTTTGCTTCCAAAAGCTCTGCACACCTTTCACCACAATGGCCACCCCATCCCGCACCCTCTTCCTCAGGCTCATCCTCCACCGGTCTGTGATGATGCTGATGAGCCCCACAGGGAAACTGTCAGGTGGGGTAATGTCCGGGTTTCCCACAGCCATGCTGGGGATAATCCAGATGTAACCTGGTCCCACAAGTCCGACGTCAGCTGCCATGGAAAAAAGGTACTGGGCCTCCTCATGGGAGCAGTAGACCAACAGCACCTGGGCATCGATCTGCTGCAGCAGCCTTCGTGCTCGGATGTCATTCAAGATATCGATTGACATATCGAAGGTCAGCACGTCTTGCAGGTCCCACATGAAATAGCTGGTGTCGGTGAAGGACTTGACATAATCCACGTAGGTTTCATAGCCCGGGTACAGGCTGGTTATAACCACAAAGCTGTCCCAGTTGTACTCCTCCATCACCTTGAACATGCCAGTTATTTGCTGCTCGATGGAGGATCCCAGTTGGAGGAAGTTGGAGCCCTCACCCTGGAGGAAAAGGAAAATATTGCATTAGGAGATGGAACATGCATGAAGACTTTTGTGGTTAGTTAACCCACTGCATGGAGTTTATTCTTCACTAACAAGCAAAATGAACACATCCTAATTCAGTTTATGCAATAAGCTTTTTGAATGACCCTCTTTGTACCTGTTAGTGAACATGCAAATGTAATATACAGTATAGTCAGATAAAACATGCACAGAGGAGCGAGTTGGGTCTCTAATGCAGCCTAGACAAGAGCTAAGTGGTTCTGCTTTAATTTGCTCTTCAGCTGAACCACTCATCACTTAAATCAACATCTTACTTTTGTTCTGCAAACCCTGGCCATCATCCATACTTGCAAATTCAGGAGGATGGCACTCTTACTGTGGCTGTCGGCTGCTGTCTCATCTCTTTTCTGCAAATGCAGTGACCTTAAAAGAGTACTGAGGATGGCTTTTCTGCTAAGTGCAGTATCAAAAGAAGTAGAGAAGAGGGAGAAATAGTTTATAGTGTCTTGTGGTTTATGATTCTTTTGCTTTGTGCTTTTCATTAAAACAGCAGGTTTCTGTGTGAAGTAAAGCGTTGTCTGGTGTTTTAAACGAGCACCAGGTCATGGCGTGTTTCCATCAGTGGTCAACGACACAGCAGTTTCTCTGTCTCGGTTTTATTGTACCACATGACACTGCAAAACATTCATTAAATTGCGAGCCATTTCTTGTAGTTTGTCATATGCTTTTTTTGTAAATAGGGTTAATTATTTTTATTGAGCTTTAATGATGATCAGCAAAAGACCCTTAATTAAACAAATTCTGAGAATGATAAAAAACCTGCCTCTGCTCTTCCTAAGGTAAAAAAAATGTTTTGACTTGTGTGTGATCTTGTTACAAAAGCTCTTTGCTTGTGTGAGGCTGATACGGTACTGTAGATGGCCACCTCCTGACCCGCTCCCTCTCTGGAGAAAAGCCACTCTATTCTGAGAACCCTGTTCTCTGAGCTCAGAAAACAGAGGGTCAGGTATCCTGAGACGGCAACAAGTCTGCAATTTTGTTCAGCCTGTCTCCTTCTTGTCCTTGAGAGAAGTTCATTGGCCTGGTGATGTGCTGTATCGAGGGTCTTATGATTTTAGATGACATGTAACTTTGTGCCTCTGACTTGACCATGCTCACACCATGCTATGGAAATATTTTCATTTTTTGTCATCTTGTTCCACTTATCTCTGCCCTTGTTTTTTCAAACTTCTTATAATCCCCAAACTGTCAGTTAGCTTGATATAATAACAAGGTCTTGTGTTATTTTGACTTGCCATTCATTTACTGTATTTACTGAAAGAGAAGGCAACTCTCTGTTCCCCGACAGATGCAAAGGTGTCAGATTGTGTAGGAATTTGTGTTTATGTATGTACTCATGTTGATATATGCTTTCAAGCCCAAGGGTCTGTCAGAATAAAGCCCAGTGCAAACTACAACTTTAGCAGCTCAATTAGCAGAAAGCAGACTGATAGTGCAGTCCAAATGAGCCTGGGGCATTACCACAGGCTCAGTGACAGCTCAAAGCCTGAAGTCATGGCGGCCCTGTCAGTGTATGGACAGTACTGTCCAGGACATATAGTTGTAGGAAAAGAAATTAAAGTAAAGTTCATATGAGTTCTCCACCAGTAGTGATAATCTTTCCAGTAGGTGGATGAGAAGAGAAGAGTTCAGTAGGTTTGAAATGGGATGTACAATTAAAATATATACCCTTTCCAAATGGCCACACTCCAAGGTGACAGCTGACACTCTTGTTTCTGCTGACCTCCAGTGGTGTATGATGTAGATGTGTGGTAGCACACTGGGACATCACTGCTGGGCATAGGTACAGATTACAACAGACCTGATACTTTTAACCAGAGAGGGTATTAAACTCTAAACGAATCACAACAGTGTCACTTTCCCCACCCTCAGTGTTTGTCTGGTGTGGTCTTCAGTTCAGATGGATTCAGTGTTTTCTCTTTGGGTACAGTCTCCAATCGGCTCTGCATTAATGGCTTAACTATGGTGGTCGACAAATCTCTATTATCTCACAATATATATGATCATATTACCCACTCCTATGGATAAAGTATGTAAAACTGTAACCTCAGCATTTGTTAATGGGTGTCAAACATGACTTTCTACTCAGTGAGCTGTACTTCTACAGTGCTGTCGACAGAAGCTCACAGTAATAGTCTACAGTCACAAAGAAGATTATAGCCATTGAGTGGAAGGCTTAGGTACTAAAAGGTGAAATTTCATTCACAAGTGTAAAATATACAGAGCATATTTGTTTAGAAACACAAACATGGCTGTGCTGATTTTTAACCCAGTAACATTATGTCAACTGTGCAATGCTACTTTTTGATAATTGTTCAGTGCTTGGCAAACTGAAGGTTCATTTTAGATGCTTGAAACTGGACTGATTTGGAGTTAGATGAGTGTAAAGCAGTGATTATCTCTAAACCACTGTTTATATTGGAACGAGCTGTGTTACTGAAACCAATGATTTTATTTTTTAAAGAATTAACAGGACGAGTACACAAACAACAGTTTGTATATGCTCTAAAACACTCATTTGATAGCTGAAGGTTATTTGAATGACTCGGAAGAGTGATGCCTATTGGGCCTGGAATGCATCCAAAAATCTAAAGCAAACAAAGTCAGTTGAGTTAATGGGGCTGAAGAAACAGCAAATTGATGTATTGATGTAAATATACTGTAGCTCTGAGTGACATTAGCAGTGGAGATGTGGAACAGAAAGGGGTGTTTGCCTGGTCACATGCCTGAACTGCAGCCATTTCCTGCTGTCACTGTTCACTGAAGAGTGATTTATGGCCATGGCTTTTTGCTGTGACATATGTCTACCTCCGCCACCCAGCAGGAAGTGCCCTGGCACTGCCATCCTGTGGTGCTGACGTCACATAGATCCTGCATGGCAACCAGGAACAGACACACAACTCCCTGGACATCTGCCATTTCTCACAAAGCTGGAGAAAACTCAAATTGTGATGCTGTTTTGTTGAACAAGATTGAAACAATATGTATTTGAGCATGAAACCTTTTTGGATTCGATGCAAGAAAAATCCAAAATCATCGTGTATCATCGTGTAATTTACCAATTGTAAGAAGGTTCTGGGTTCAAGCCCCGACTGACCCGGGGCCTTTCTGTGCGCAGTTTGCATGTTCTCTCTGTGTCTGCATGGGTTCTCCAGCTTCCTCCCACAGTCCAAACACACGCAGCTTAGGTTAATTTGCGACTCTAAATTGCCCTTAGGAGTGAGTGTGAGTGTGTGTGGTTGTCTGTCTCAGCCCTGTGATGGACTGATGACCTGTCCAGGGTGGACCCTGCCCCTCTCCCAGTGTCAGCTGGCACTGGCTTCAGCCCCCCCCATGGCCCTATTCAGGAATAGGTGGTATAGATAATGGATGGATGGATTCACCAATTTTCAATTACTTAACATAATAAGACCAGTTCTGCTTTCTAAACTAATCATCAAAAACCCAATCAATTAAAATATCTCACAAAATCAAATTAGAAAAAAAGATTAAAAAAAAATCCTCCTTTGTCACAGTAAAGTTTTCACATTTTCACTAGGTGTGAAAATATAACTGAATATGCTTTTATTTTATTATAAATTACCTTCCAAAATTAACAGGAGACCGGCTATTAAGACAGGAACATTTTTACCTGGAGTGTGGAATGTTTAGCAGTGTTTGGCCTGGTGATGGTTGTTTTGATGTCTTCAACATCAGCTGATTTTTTAAAAATCTTTTTCGTTGCTCTTTAAAGGTATTGACTATAATTTTATGCAGCCAAAATCATCATCACATTCATTTTTCCTTTCAAAATGACGCTAAACCACTCACAAATACTATTACTTTTGCAGAGCACATCTGAGTGTGTAAATGGGTAAACTGTAGCTAACCGCTGGCGGCACTGTGCTTGTTGAGACAACGTCATTTCCTGTTGCCATCTTTACTGAAATGAATTTTATAGCTTATCTCTTTGACTTGAGTGTGTGTAATACATGAGAGTCACGAGCTGGGGCTAAAAAGTATTATGTTTACAATTTACAGCTAATTTCCAACAGAAAATCCAGTACATCTTGGAGTAAATGAAATGCTGCCTGCGTTATGGTTTTTTAAAATCAAAATAATGTAATAATATTGAACATATGTGCAAAATGTTCATTAACATGACTTCTCTTGCAGTATCCACTCATAGCAATCAATAAACTTTCTATGTCATGTTTAGGTACTTATGGTACCTAACTCAGTTAAGATTAGAGAAAGATCAAGGTCTAATACAATAAGACAGTCTGCAGCGTGAGACACATGTTCAGTGTGTTGACGTTTAACTGACAACGGGATCTTCCCCTGGTTTTAACCAGTGCATTTGTTGCCTAAAACAAAACACATGGCAGACTCAAGATGACCCCAATGTCTGCTGTCAGTCTTTTGCCCACCCTGTCCATCTTCTGTGACTGCTGACGTTTACTACTATACAATGTATAATTTTCCAGTATGGGTGGTGTTCATCTTCACCACATCACCCAGCTTCATATTTGAGTGGTTAGAGCGCACTGCATCACTGCATACTTACTGTATGCACATATGTACTGTTTACCACTTGCTCACAACTGACTGCATTTAATGACACACTTTCAGTCCCAACAGATTACACTGTAACTGTGCCAGTTCTAAAATGCAGCAGGTGGTGGAGGTAAAGAAAGTTCAGAACACAATGAAGGCAGGCAGAGAAAAAAGGAACTGCTCTAGTTTTGAGAAAAGCCTCGGGCTCATGTTCCTACAAAGACAATTAGGGTTTTGCTCATGTCTGACTTACACTTTGTGTGCTGGCAGAGCTGTTGCTCGGTGGATGTGATATGTCAGACTGTAGAATAGATGCTCTGGAGGTCGCTTTGAATTTTAGGTCAGGACATTGAACTAAATGCATAATGAGAGAAAAATAAGAATTCATGCTTCATCTGCTCAGGAATCATTAACTACAACAACTCCCTTGAGTGTATAATTGCCTTTGAAGAACATCACTGGTTGTCTTTATTTGTTCAGAGAGTTGTCACAGCTGTTTCCAACAATAACTGTTGTAGCTACTGCACACTATAAGGATTTTCAATTAAAGCTACTCCCTCTAAGATTTGCCTGTATAATCATCTTAATGCTTCATTCTGGTGTCACTGGGGAATGGCAGTTTGATCATCTTCAGCTTCTCTAATGTAATCACAGTCTTTCTCTAACCTTACCCGGATAGTCTTAAATAACTAACTGGAGTTAATTTTTGAAGATGAACTTTTAAGTATTATGAGTTGTTTGGGAAGCAATGACAAAGAGGCCAGAGGAGCTGTTGGAACTGAATTGTATTGTTTTGCCATGTTTTAGCTTTTAAACCATACACAAGGTCAGCTTTACTTTGATTTCACAACTGTTTCAGTCATTTGCCAGCCAGGATTACTGTTACTCATTTATGCACTGTAGGAGCTGATTGATCTGCTGGCAGTTGTGAAGTATTTTAACACTGATTTCTTGTCCATCTGAATTTACTGTTGGATGGCTCCTAGCTGGAAAGACTCTTACTCTATTGCTGCTTAAAAAAAATCAATACTCTTGACTGTTCTTAAGGGAGTGAACTTGGCTTAATACTGAAGTCTTCATCTTGACATTAGTTCCTTCGCTGGATGAACATCTTCTTGTCATTATTGCCTTTTTTTCTGGGACAGCAAATGACATGTAGCCTGATGTTGGCAATGAGCATGTGCTGACAACAGGAATCGGTTTATCGCCTAATTTTATGCTGTCACTCTGAAAAAGATCAAGCCATCAGCTTTCAGTGGTACATAAGAAACATGAATGAGCTCCATTTCCTTGTTGACTACCTTTGACAATGTCCCATATATCAGTCAATGGATTGCATCCTTGATTATTGGAAAGATGGCTCAAGGAGGGTTGGAAAAAAAAATCATCTATGTGTCACCAGTATTGTAATGTGTAGGGTGTTATTAATTGAAGACAAATCAAAAATAGGTAACTGACATTTAAATGTGTGAAATCCATTTTTTGGAAACACAGATCAGTTCAGTGCTGTCACTTAAACTCTTAGTGATGATTCAACCTTTCATTTTATTTGAAACTATTATTGGATTTACACTGTGTGCCAGTAATTGGCAGTATTTTGTTTTCCACTTCCAAAAATCTGGATTTTTTGCATCTGGATTCTGTGATATGTTCCGCCAATAATAATTTGACTAGTCGGATCCCAGAGGTGAAATATGCTGACAGACATCTTTGTTCTTCTCCACACTCCACACTGGGACCTGCTTTGTCTGCAATGTGTGATGTGTTACCATTTCTGTATATAGGAACATATATGCATGCTGGTTTCCTCCAGTGCTTTCATTGCAGTATTACAAATGGGCCTCTATAACTCCTCACCTGCCCCTGTTTACAAAGGAGCAGATTATAACACTGTTATAAACCAAGATGATGGTGAGAAATGATGAGAAGTCTTTGGCTTGTCACATTCAGCATATGAATCTGTTATATAAGTGATCTATAATTTACAAGCCAGTGATGGACTGTAGCTAGTGACACTACTGCTGCTATTTCTATACTCATCTCGTGAATTCTTGTGTTAATTACTGTTTTCATATTTTTGGTTAGCTGCAATATCTTATGTGGTTTGTCAACTGTGAATGATATCGTTACAAAATTGCCTGAAGATTTAAATAGGCTCTTCTGACTTCCAAGTAGCCTAGTTTACCCAGCGTCTCTGAAAGACTGTTCAAATTTTCTTTGCAGCCAGAATGCTTGATGTTGTTTCTGGGCATTTTTCATACAAAGTCAAGGAGTTAAAATGCTCATTAGCTTGGTTGATCATTTTCTGATTGTATTCTAACTGTTTATCATAGTGACCACAAGTAGCGAGAGTGGCTCAAGCCCCAGACCTGTTTTTACTGGCCCTCTCTGTGTCCCTGACCCCCGTTCCCCCACTTACCTTGTATGGCAGGACAACAGTAGAACCTCCACTGATGCCCACAATGGGCACAGCTGTCTGAGTGGAAATGAAGTCCAAGATCTGTGCCACAGCCTCCGAGCCAACATTGTCTTCAAACACCATGCCATGCACGCGATTGGTGGTGAGGGTGTCACAGATGTGGGTGAGCAGTGCCCGTGGGTTGGTGTTGTTGACCAGTACAGTGATGGGGTTCACCTCCAAAGGCAGGTCCATGAAGTTTTCCCGGCTTAACCGTCCCTTAATCTCCGTCTGGTAAGTTGAGCCACTGAACACCAGAGCCACGTTCACGGAGGGTGTGGGAATTTCGAATGGCCGGCCTGAACAGCAGTTGACAGTGCAGA